TGCACGAAGCCGGACAAATAAAACGTCGCCGGGGAATCGATCGCCCTACTTTGCAAAGTAAATTAACTTCCTAAATCCGTATAGTTTATGCATTCGACGCACAGACATTGTTAACAAGGTTTTTAAACTCTCCGCCGCCGGATGAAATGCATTATAAAAACGTATATATATAACGTACCCATTAATTGGTGACTTTGTCGAGGACCGCTGTTTAATATAGCATACGCATTATACTCGTATAGATTGAACGACGAATTAATTTCGGTCGGACAGAATGCATTTGACTGTCCGTTAAAATGCCATTTCCGCCGCTTTATGTAGGGCAAACGATTTAAGCTACACTATTGCTGACGAGACTGAATGTTGTCGTCGATAAACTTACGTTAAACATAATAACACAATATAAACACTACAGATGTCCGTTGTTATTTTCTGGTAAAAACTCCTTGTCGGTTTTGTCTATATAATATCGATTACCGCTTTGGTCTCTTTGGGATGCGAGTTCGATTAGGTTAAAAACAACATTAAATTTGATTTGAATGTTGACTATACGTCTCCGGTTATTTCTTCCGCCGTTGAAAAAAACGTTTTCCACACGAAACCGTATGAAAACCTATTTAAGTGGGAGCACAATATCCTAAAATTGCCTCATCGGATCAAAAGATTATTATTGGCGCCTTTGTTCGAAATTCTCTTAGGAGGATGCAGTTGTTAGAAGGATGTAACGAAGACGTTATACAATATATAATATTCTCCGTGCCGAGTAAAATTGTTTTTTTTTTCGAAATCGAAAAAACCGATACGATATTATTGATCAAAAACAAAGCCAGTGGGTGGGAGAGGGAGGGGGGAATTCGCAAACAGAATTTTTTTCATTCGGTTTCTACCCTCATCGATTCAATATCGTACCGTATTGATGAAAACTGCACTTTTCTAGTTTTTCTTTTTTTTTTTCTGGACGGGACATTCCAGCTCTTCAACTGTGAGGGAGTTACATGATAATACGTCCGCGTTTCAAGCGAAAACTTATTTCGTTCCCCGTCTTCAAATTTGAAATCCGGCGGCAAGCGTATCGCCGCAGCGATACCTGAACGGAATTTAATACGGTCTACGGGAGTATATTTAACTCTACCGTGTTTGACGATAATAATAACCGGAATATCTGTACGTTCGATGGTCGTTCACGGTATACGCCAGAGTGCACTGCACCGGCACCGTTGTTGAACGTATACGTATAATACGTATAGTGCATAGACATTCATATAGATTCCATTATTAAACGGCAAACAAAACGCATTCTTGCACCGCTCACGGAGAGAGAGAGAGAGAGAGAGAGATTCAGAGAGCTGGAAAGCGGGACAGAAACCCAAACACAGTCGCGAGTACAGACTATATATATCCGATATCCAAGTGTTTTGTTGTTTACTTTAACGGTAGTAATACATCCGCGAGATCGTCGGAATGCGGAATCGACGTGGACGACATAACAGTTTGCTGACGAAAAAAAATCAAAAACAAACAAATACGAATCTCCGTAGTAGTATTATAGGTGTACACGATTAACAACCCGCGTCGATAGTACAATATTGTTCGGCTTTCTTTTACGATTGTAAACAGATTCCGGGCGAAACGTCAAAAACCTCGGATTTCAAACTCGGATCGTCTTGTGTTTTCTTATTGGCGAAACGTTCGTGTTAACGATGACGGACCAAGTCGATAAAAACAAAATGTTGGAATTCACTCGAGGACGTTTTGTGTTATTAAACGACGGACATTGTTAAAGAGTTTTGATAAGAAATTATATTCAACTAAATATTAACGAAATTGTTTAACGATGAAATTAACTCATGGTAAAAATAAAAAGTTAAAATTTACTTAAGTCTGTTTTTTATTATTAAACAACGGACATTAACGAGTTTTACTAATAAATTATATTCAACTAGATAAAATCTTAACGAAATTCTTGTATATTGAAAAAAAAAAAAAAAAAAACGCCAATAAAACTGTAAGGAACAGCGTACGAGTTTATTATATTCCAAATATTGTTACGTGTCGTTTTACCAACATTTCAATATTATTTGGAGATAACCATTTGAGGCTTAGGGCGGCAGTACAGTAGTATTATGTTATTATTGTACACGAGTCACGAAAACCCACACAACAAACGAAAGCAATAATAATATTCCATCTCTTTTTTCGCGACAGTAATAATAATAATTCACGTACAACAGTTGTCTGTCGTAGTCCGTTTCGTTTCAAAAGCGTTTCCCCAGACGTTTTTCCTCCGTCAAAAGTCTACTATATTACAGTGTGTATTATAAAATATAATATTCGTGTCTCGTACGTGTATAATTTTATACGACATCAACTGCAGTTGCGAATCCGAGCTGCAACTGTAGCGGCAGGAATGATTTTACGATATAAAAAAATTTCATTTTTCTATACCGGATTGTTCGTCCGATTTTCCGACATTCCGATTTCATGATCCTTTGTAGTTTTCTTAACAAACAGAAATTGCTTGCAATTTGTCGTATAATTTTCGACGATTCCTGGGTTACATTGGCAACAAACGGGAGGGAATGTAAGGCTAATGACACTCTATTCAGAATCGTTTTTCGTTAGTAATAGTCTATCGTCTAGTACAGAAAATAATTAAATTGCTTTCTATACCTATATATTTTATTCTCTTTACAAGCTCTTATCCAGAAACAGTGGCACGCCCATCAGCGGCGTATCCGCCTGTTGTTCTCTCTGTGACCAATTTTAGCACCGGAAGATTCGCGCCGATCAAAAAACACTTTATGTGAGGTTTTGTGAACCTAATCAAATTCCAATATATTTATTTTGTGCGTTTATGAGGAAATAGTTTGTTGATGTTCTTTGTACATTTATTAATGCTAGGAAAAATTCGTCGGAAAAAAAACAATGAATACACAACAAAGCCTTTGCGGTTTTTGTCAAAATCAATTTCTTTTTCTCTTATTCAATAATAATAATATAACCACAAAGAACTGAAATATTCACTCGATATTATGTTTGCGTTTTCTATAGGCGCGGTATATTTTCTAAAATATTCTGGTGGTTTTTTTTTTTTTTTTTAGTAATACATTAAAATGTATGATTTACATTGATTTAGTTTCGTGTGAACGCTCGACAATTCGATACAAGGACTATTATGCACTCGTTTTCTTTAACGGTAAATTATGTTCAAATTTTTAACGAAACTCGTAAAAATCATACATAACAGAAAAAAAAACTTCTTTTGTAGGCGGTTGAAAATTGTCGAAATTTAGCAGGCAAACATTGTTGTAGTAAATACCATCGTTTTAATTTCGCGTGCAATCAAACGCCACGCATCGCTCAGACTGACATCAATATAGTTTATTATTGAGAAAATTCGTGATAAGCTTTGGTAAACCGCGGTGAACCTATAGTAGCTGTGGTAACTCGCAGAACGTAACACGTAGTACAGGCGATTACGGCTTACGAACAGACGGTTCGGAATATTTTTCAATTTTACCCCGGTGAAGTAGATTCAAATTCGGAATAATAATAAAATAGGACGGACATAATTTAACCACGGGTGCGGCCACTGTTGTTGGTGGGTTGGTGGGACGTTTAAAAGGTAAGACACAGACGGGAATTCGATGTAAATCTGTAAGCAACGATAAACCATTGTCAATGAACAAACGATACTGAGAGGAATTCATTTGATAGTGTTGCTTTGCCAACAATATATATGTGATATTATGGTAAAATTATTGCGACAATGTGGGTTTCCGCAAAAAGATTAAAACAACAAAAACTTAATAATAATAACAAATAAATAAGAACGGTTGCCAATGACATTGTTAATTTTAATCTTTCAATCGTTTTTAACCTTAAGACCGAGGTTTTCCTTATTATCTCGAATATTAACGAGAACTTCAAAAAACGACCGCCTTTAAGTACGACCCGGAGAACATTAATTTCCAGAAAAGCCGGTATACTCGAAAATCTGAGTAAGCTCTCTGGTAGAAAAAGTGTTCGCATAAAAAAAAAAATAAACGTCTTTGTAAGACCAATACATTCTTGGCCGAACTCGGAATCTAAAAAAAAAATACTAATTCCGTTTACTCGCCGCGTTCGTTGTAAATAACAAGATTCGCGCTCCCCACCCCCCGGCTCCCGCATACGAACCGCCGTCGCGGACGACGTGACGAACGACCCGGATGCGTGTGCCGGGCGTTCGTTTCGTACGTCGCCGTGACGTTTCGCCCGTGCAGCGCGTTATAATAATAACATTTCGGCGCGTTCGGGTAAATTTCGCGGACGAACAGAAGGAAAAATAAAAAAAAAAAAAAAAAAAAAACAAAACGTAGTGGGCGGGGGAGAAAACCGTTCAGTAAGCCGCGCGAACTACTCCGGTACCGTCCGCATCGGGAGCATCGAAACGTACGCCCGCCGCGCGTCAACGGCGGCGATAAACTCCGCGCGCTCTATTCCGATCACGTCTCTCCGCTCTCCGCCGCGGGGACCTGCGAGTGTAATTTCATTCTTCGCCGGCTGTTTTTCCCGTTCGACACACGGCGGGCACGCCGTACACGCGTAACGTAATACGCGTGTCTACGCGGCACCGTCGCCGGCCGAAACGCCGCGCCGTCGACTGCGCGGGGAACGGGTTTCCTCCTGCGACGGTATGGAGAAAAAAAAAAAAAGAAAAAAAACCCGCGACTTTGTCGTCGCGAGTGAAAAACGGGGCGGCTGGCAGTGACGACCGCGAAACGTAACAGTCTCGCGGCGCGCGATAAAACAATTAACGTGCCATTGTTGTTCGCGCGGATGCAGAGAATAGTTTCGCGGCACGCGCGCGAAAGACGCGCGAAATCGATTATGACATACCGCGCGCGAATACAGCAGGCGGGCGTAACGCGTCCGGAAAAGACCGTCGAGTAGGCATTTTTCGCCTTCGAAATCGATTGTCCGCGGGAGTACTCGCGTACGGCGCTACTAGCGTCGCGATGACGCGAAAAGACTTCGCGGACGAAAATTCGGATTACTTGTCTTCGCTACGGAAAAAAGCGTTCTTGCGGTACCGGCGCGGTTTTCGGTTCGAAAACCCACCTCGAAAGGGGAAAACATTTCGCGCCCCGCGTGAACAGCAGCAGTCCGATTTCGACGGTTGTCGTTTCCACAGATCGCGTTCAACTCGGTTTTTCAATGCTCCCGTCTAAAAATTATTAATTATGATACGTATATTTTAAACGGTCGATTATTTTTAACTTCTTTTACGGCTTTTCGATACCGCGGGCGAACGGTTACGTTGACATAATACGCGAGTTATCTCTTTTCTCACCAAGTCATTTTTGCCCGTAATTACGGCCTCCCCCCCCCCCGTTCACGAATGACCATCGGGTAGTAAAGTCTTACCGTTACGGCGGCCGTTAGAACATCAATGTATTGCGAATTTCACAAAACCGGAATGCGTTTGCGAAACCGTCGCCCGGCCCCTTAAAAACGTCGACGAATCCGTAATCGGTGCAGTCAGTAATTATTGACGTTGTGGTGATATCAGCGACATTATAATCCCCGCATTTTGGCGGACACGATCGACCGACGGTGTTTATTAGCTATGAGTATGCTCGACACACGGTGTTATATCATAATTTAAAACCGAGTCAACCCCCCGTCAACGGTTGATTTTGGTCCTGATCGCAAAATATATATTTTGTTCGATCGGGGGGGGGGGGAAATAAATTTTACTCGTATTCGGTAATTTCGAGTATATTATACTCGATGAAATTCTCCATGATCATAGCAGTTATTCTACGTGTTGACCAAGACGTCTCCGAAACCGGTAAAAACGCTCGCGCGTTCGCATCGCACTATTTAGCACAGCGATTTCGATTATCGCGCGACACGTCGATCCTCGGGTTTCACGTCACCATCGTAATGATACGAATTTATTGTCCATTTTTCAGGTGGCGTTACTCTGACCGAACTCCGCGTGCCCAGTTCCGTTATGGCCAGCGTCAAGTCCGGCGTCGTTCTCGATTGTCTCTACACATTGCGTCCGAATTCTGTCGGTCTCGTGGTGGCCTGGTATTTCAACAACAGCGCCAGACCCGTTTACCAGTGGATTCCCGGTGAAAAACCCTTGAGCATGGGCGTGTTCCGTCACCGCACAAATCTCGACTACAAAGTTTCCGACCACAATGAAACCATGCACCGGTACGTATATGAAATACTTAAGATTTCATTCGTTTTTATTTATTTATTTAATTATTATTTTTTTTTTTTTTATGTATACAATTTCCAACAAAATCGAATGCATTAAAACCGTAGTAAAATTTGATCGGGATTTGTTTGACGATTTTAGATTTTGATAATTCATTATTGCAGTGGTAGCTCGAAATATCTTTACCTCGAATCACTGATTTTTGATCACTTGAATCATTGATTTTCTGTCCACTTATCCCAACTGAAAATAAGGGGTATTCGGTGAGGCGAGGGAAACTACCACAAATCTATCGAAAATTAACAAATTTCAACAAAATCTATAATATATTGATGACATTTTCGCAGTATAAAACAATTCTTTTAATGCGTGTTATTTTGTAAAAACCTAATATTTTTTAGTGATATTTCTGAATATCCAGGCACCCACGACCCGCCCACTCGTTTTTTTGTGAATCACGTGATTTATCTTCACCCCTTTCAAATCGCCACCGATAACAATATATCGTTAAGATTTTCCGTCTGATAAATTTTACACAAAATCATCCAAGTTTTAAATGAACGTTTTCAATGGCGTACTACACACGAGTATCATAATATTCTACCTCTTAAATATTTAAATATTCAATCCGGAAAAACTGAATTGAATATTAATAATGATCGAAAACTACTTACAAACCACTTAGATATGTACGGTCAAAATTATACTTGTTCATTTTCTAAACCCGCTCGTCGGTGTTTGTTTGCACAGGGCCCTGCACATCATCAATCCGACTATCGAGTTGTCCGGTGACTACCGATGCGTTGTATCCACTTACCATGACGAAGATTTCATGATCAAGAGAATGATTGTATACTGTAAGTACCCATTCCATTCCGTTAAAAAAAAAAAAAATATATATATATTTAAAATAAGAAAAAAAGTAGCTGGTAAATAGTCTAGGGCTCGGAAGTTGTAGGAGTTGCATATTTTTCTGTGTGCACTGGGTTTATTACGGACCAAGCTAGAAAATATTTCCACATAATGGAGAGTTTAAAAATCGAAAGTTAAAAATGCATATTTTGTTAATTTCAGAGAAAAAGTGCATGTTTCATCGCATTTAGTTTCGCATATTTTTATGCATATTTAATATTTGCTAAAAAAAAAAAAAATGATTTTTTTAATATATCTGTTCATATTAACAACAATGAAATTATTTTATTTAAACATTTTTCATCCATATTTTACAATTTTTTAGTGTATATTTTGAATTTTTTTTAGCTCCTATAACCCCCGAGCCCTATCTACGTGTACGATTTTTGTCAATTTTTCCCCACAAAGTGTGACTATTGCGCTCTATCTTATATATACAAGATTCATTACCGGATTGCGGTATGATCGAATTATCTCCACAGTCCATTTGTCAACTGTAAACTGTTACAATAATACTAATAAAACGTAAACAAAATATTATTGCAACGAACGATTTTCAAGTAAACTTTATCGTCTCTGCGTTTAAAAAGGGACGCGAATTGCCGTTTTAAAACCGAAATTATAAAATTAAACCTTATAAAGAATTCCGAAAAAATAAATGATCCACAACAACGAAAATCCTACAAGAAAAGGATCGTGATAAAATAATCATCCTACATCGGTTCCGTGCCGTGTTCAGATATTAATTAGCGGCTATCATTTCCGATCCGAATCGCCTCAAACGAGTGAATTTAAGTTATTTCAAAGGCGAATTAAATTGACTCAAGCGGGAATGATAAGTTTCAATCGGTATTTCAACATGTTTCGCGGGAATGGGGTGGTTTTATTTCACTTTGAACAGTACTACAGATCCCTCAAATAAAGCTATTAGAGGGGACGCTATTCTTTACTGCGAAACGTGCCCGTCGGCGGTTTCAACAACAATACGTTCCTCCCCCGCGTTTTCGTAACGAAATGCCGTGATTTTAGCTGATATTTTCAAAACCCGATACCGATTAACACCGTAAAGGGAACGAGCCGGACGGCGGATAATTCGACTGCCGTTCGCCGGTCGCGGGTTAAAATTAAAAAAAAAAAAATACTCGCGTTATGTTTTAACATTTTCATTAAAAATATATGTGTATAACATATAGGGAGCGGATTATAATGCAAATTACATTTTTTTTATGTTCTAAAGCAATGTTTTCCGAACACAAAATTCAATATCAAAGAATTTAGATACGAAACTTTTATTTTGTATTTCTTGGCATTTTAAATGGTGAATTTTTAGGTATTTAAGGGATTTTCTCTTCTTTTTAAAAACTTTATAGCGTTATCGGAAAATCTGATAGAATCTATTTCGATTTCCTCCTAAAAGAAAAAAAAATGCGTATTTCTATTTTTTAAAATGTATTTTATCAGATAAACTCACGATGTCCCCGGCTCCAATAAAGAAAACGATAAGCTATCTATCGGGTTGTTGTCGTATTGCACCGTTTCAACTGTTGGGTTCAGTGATTAATGTGTATGCTTAATAAAAACAAAAATATCGTTATTTTTTTCAACGTTCAAAAAAAATTTCAGATTTAAAATTTTTTTTTTTAAAAGAACTTTTTAAGGCGTTTCTACCGGTTTTCAAATCGCGTCAAATTTTATTTGTTCGTGTTTTTTTAGACCGTTTAAATCCGCATTCTAATAATACACTCGCGCTGTTATAAAGTTCGGTACACGCCCCCGGCGGTGTATACGAAAATCGCGCGATGTAATTTGGAAAACGACTCTGCGGAAATTATTGACGTTGTAAAAACGCAGTCACGTGTTATAATAATACACAGGTGCCCACTATACATAATTGCAACAGCATTACTACCGCCGTAACAATAAAATAACGCGGCGCGTAATAAAATACTACTCGTTCGTTTTTTTTTTTTTGGTGACTTTTCTCGTACGGTAATTTTCCGTTGTTTAACACGGTACAATAACAATACCGCCGGATATGCATTTAGCGCGAAACGATAATATTGTTATGATGCCGTTTGCGTATCGGAAAAACTTTATACATTGTACGTTACCCGCAGAAACACGCGCGGAGATCGCCAATCTCTAACGGTTCACCCGTTGTAAACGCGATATTCCGGCACGGAAATAATAATATAGAAGGTTCGAAAACTTTATTTTCCGTTTCGGTATTTTCATAAATACGCGCCAAATCAAACGCTTTTTCTCTTTTTTTTTTTTTCTTTTTTTTTTATGAGATCCGGGATTTCAATGCCCTTCGCGTCGTTTTGCAAAAGCGACGTTCGATTTCGTCTTCGTCGAATTCGTTCCGTGTATTTTTTTTTTTAACGAGGACGAATAATTTTAATTCGCATTCATCAAAGATTATCGATTTTACGGTGATTTTCTTTCCTTTGAAACATTTCAGAGGGTTTTTGAGGCCCGGATTTTAAACTTTCACGCGGCGCCGTGATTCGTATTACATTAGCATTGTATTACCGGACGAAAGTTGTGTCATAATTAGGACGAAATCATCCCGTATCCAGATTCGAGTCGGTATCGCGCTTATCAATTTTTTCAAAGTCAGAAGAGTTGCGAACCGGATAGTTGAAACGGCGAAATCCGGAATTATTATACTCGATTACTCATTTCAAGTATCCAAATATTATTTTTATTGTGATTTGTGTGATAAATTTCAGGGTCTTCGGATCTTAGTTACCTACCTATATAATATTATGTGCTTTGTTAGTTCTTGGCGTGACTTTCGACCGTTTCGATAATTCTTTTTAATTTGTGCGCAAACATTCGTAACCCAAATATTTTCGATCATTACATTTTACGAACACTCGATCGATTACGATGACCGAATAGTAGAGGTACATCCGTGTATCGTCACGTACAACAGCCGAATAATATTTACGGACACGTGAACATCCGCACAGATAATCGGATTGTACGAATTTCCGAACGGTGTCCGAATCGACGCGCCCACGCTCTTTTCCCAAGTGGACTTCGAGGTCTCGTCACGAACTCCACTCGTGACCGCCCTATTCACCGTATGCCGAGTAGTCTTGAAAACGTGTGACTGTCCAACCATATTGCTCCGGCCCGTTTTTCCATACAAATCAAATAAAACAATTTCCGATGACGGACGCCGAATTCGGTTTTATACGGATTTTAAAATAACCCGGTGTCCGGACAGTTCCGACACCGTGCGAGCTCGTAAATATACGAGGCGTGACGGAAAACAACGAGATTTCTTGTATAAAAGCTGTGTGTTTTTTAAAATTTTACAATTTAATGTTCGTCAACCTTCTGTCGCGACTCGTAAACTGCGTCCGAAACATTCGGTAAAAGCCCACCCTGACCCCTTAACGCCCCCGCCATATCGCGACGGGCCTCGATGTTTCCCGAGCCTTTTGTGATGGGACGCCCGAACGGATCCCCGTAGGTTAACGACGACGCGGGCGGCTACTGAGTTATCGCGACCGCTGTGCCGGGGCCGAAAACCGGACTCCGGGACAATAATTTTCATTTGTCGCGAACCGCGGCCGATAAAATATTATTTCGCCCGGGGAACCGATAACGCGCGTCATTAAGTCTCGGCCGGTTTATGTAAATCTTCGGTTGTTTATTATTTTATTTTTTTTCTTCTCGCCCCCGGGGTTTTGTCGTTCGCGCGGTTCCGTCGCGTATAATTTATGTTTTCGTGCACACCTTTCCTCCGTGTGCGGCACGACGGTAACGACGCACGCCCCCGTTCAAACGCTTTCGGCGCCGGGAATCACTTATTGTTTCGGCGCGCCGATGATATATTTTTATTTAAATGGCGAAAAAACCGTTTCTACGGAACGTCGCAATAAGCGCCGCGGGCCGCGCGAGTTCTCAACGAACGATAACATCTCAGACCGGCGGACCGTATCGTACAATAATATCGTAATACCTACGCGCGAATTAAAATAACGCGATTTTTCAAAATCAAATAGTTCGCCCAACGAAATAATAAATTCGATTACGCGACGTCGCGGGTACGCCGTCAACACTATCCCTCCCTCTTTATTAAAACCAACAGAATATAATTAAAACTAATTATTTTGAATTGACATTCTACGAAGACCGTTTGGTCTGCGCGTGTCAAATTACTTTCGTTGCGAAACGCGTTGCAGGACCCCTCATTCGCCCCGAACTCCGTCGGTGGAACCGCGGTCTTCAAAGGGCGGAATGTCCTTTATCCTTTATTGCCGCCGCACACGCGCGAGGCGGACGGAGTGAAAACGAATTGTGTGTTACGGTTGTCCCAAATGGAATATATTTCGGAAATACGATTTTAATATAATCCGCGTGAAACGTTATACCGCGGCGAAAACCCGCGGCACGCTGAAACACGTGAAAAATCGGTGTTCGGCCACGCCGCTTCCACTCCCGCCACTCGTCAAATCCAACGACGGTATAATCGTTTTCCCCGACGGAATCGCTTAGATAGCGTGAGTGCGGCGGAGGGGGGGAGGGGGGGAGAAAGGAAATCGAGTCGTTTCCGATACATTGCTCAGTGTTCGGAATACGATCGCGACGGCACTGCTGACCGTGTCTTCGACCGCGTCTTTTTCCATCGGACATCGCATACGATATCCGCGTACCGATCTACGACGGCGATGCGTCCGGTTCGAACCAAATGTGTTCGTGGATGGCTCGCGCGAATCCCGCGCAACGCTAACGTACGAGAAAATCTACGCGTTTATTACACGTGGAGGACAATTATAATAACAACGCGATAGAAAACTTGCCCAACGGAACAAACCGATCGTATATTATTTGTAATCGGTATACCGATAATAATTAAAAATGTTTCGTCTAAATTCCTAATCTTTATGGTTTTTTTTTTTTTTTTTTTTAAACTACGACAAACCATACAATTTTACGGTTAATTTTTTTTTACGGTTTAAATTCCAAAAATAATATAGGTGTGCGATTTAATTGGTTCTGCATACTGTTGTATATGCGTACTTGGAAGGTAGGACGTATAGGGTGACGTCGGCGACGATAAATAACTGTAAACGATGAAAACATTCTGAGTGTAGTAGTATTGTTCGTGTTTTTGGTCACCCGAAAAATCGACGAAAATAAAATCGATGTATCAACATGTTGATAGTTTTTTTTTTTTATTTTTCATTATTTAATAAATTGTCGGTAATTTTTACGGGTTTTTTTTCCCGCAATAGAGTATTGTTGGGCGAAAAATCGGTATCATTCAATGCACGGCGCGTACGATTCGAAGCTATCTAACTAACCGAAATAGTGTGTTTTCCGAGAAAAAAAAACAATTGTCAAAGTAAAAGTCATAGCCTTTTCGACAAAACACTCGGAATCTAAAATTCCTATACAGTAGAACGCGCATTTGTCAATGTTTCACTCACATTCGGCAGATGCATAATGCATAATAATATTATGTTTGAAATGACTGCGGGTAATGATTTTGATTTCGAAACCTCGGAAACTTTAATCTATATTAGATTAGTGTTGTGTGATGCCTTTTAAACTTTAAAAGTAAACGAAACTTTGAAAATTACGACATTTTCACGCGAGAAACGTGCTGACAGCGGAATTGTATTTGTTTTTTTTTTTTTTTCGTTCCTAATTAAAGTCCGTCGTTGTTGTCTTGTGTGCCGGGGATCAGTCACAGTATATTCCGTAGTTTTGAACAATTTAATTTCGACACTGTTCGAGCGCCACCGCCGCCGCCGAGAGCAAATTTCGAGGGTTTACTATATGCCATGCCGCGCGTGTAGCTTTTGTTCGGCGTAGATGATACAAACTTTTTGGTCGTAAGAAAGTCAAAAAACCGCGTTCGTTCCTTCGTGCCAAGAAGCTGTTAAACTTTGGTACAATTCCAATGTCGTCCTTTTTATATTGCGTCACGCGTGTACGTACACGTTCGCGTTTTATTCATTTAATTCGTCTCTAACAGATTTTAATGTAATTTCGTAATTTCAATACTATTGACTTTTAATATTATATTATTGAATAGCGTATTTGTATAGTTTTAAAGCGAAATTCGTAAAAAAAAAGGTCCGGTTCAAGTATTATATCCTCTGCGCCACATCAAATGAGAATATTACAACACGAGATTGTTGTGTTGTTTAAATCGGCGCTACCGCGAGTTTTTATTTCGCCTTGCGAATCCCGCAATTACGCCGACAGACGGCCCACGACTAATTAATGTGTAGGCTTTTAATATAGGCTTTTAGCGGCGTTTCGTAGCCGACGTATTCCCGCGGCAAATAAATTATTCCGATAATGCAAGTCGTATACGACGCGTATTATAAATAATTCGCCTTTGACATATTCGGCGAAAATCGCATGGCATCCGAACCGACCGCGCCGCAGCCAAACGACAATCACACGCGCGAATTCAAAGTCGCATTGGCATACGTTAAACATAATGTTTCCGTTCGTACGAGTTTCGCGTGGATCCGAAACAAACGTTAGACACCCCGTGAAGAAATTGTTGAAATTCAAACACTCGATGGCACAAGTTGTCCGGTTTTTCACGATTCCTTCGGAAAGACTGTCGAGAATTCCCCCCCATCCTCTGAAAAATATCTCGTATAAATACAATCACCCGGTTATTATTCAATGTAGGTAAATGGCACGGACGTTTCTGAGCCAGGTTTAATTGAACGTGTTTTGAAATTTCGTTAAATTCTGTTGTGCGTGACCACTCTTCGAGCATTTTTGTTCGGCCAATAAACAGTTTTATCCGCACAAGATGAAATAAAAAATGTCAACGAATGCGAACGAATAGCTCGGAAATCGCCATACGATGACGTTAATGGAACTCTAAACTATTTTTTTGCGAAACGACACTGCTCTTTAAAATCGAACCGGGTCCGGCGGCGGAAAAGCGGCTGACAGAGAGAAAAAACGCGCGCGCGCACACACACATCGCCGTCATTGGACTTCGGAGGGGGGGGCGGGGTATCCGATGAAAATTTTAAAATCTCGTATAACATCCGTTGTTTCCATAACGAACGTGCACCGGACGGAAGGTCGAGCCATATTTTTGTTTCGCTCGTCGATACATTTTTCCAGTGCCGGGTGCCGGTGATTTCGGCGGGCACGCACGCAAGCGCACGCCGTAGTTGAAAACAGGCTCTAAAACGTGGCGGGGGCGCGCTCGCGACGCCGCCGACGCGTCAGTGGCGTCGGCTCGCGTGCACCCGCCGTGTCCGGTGACGGCGGCGTGCGTGCGACGTTCGCACGCGAAGGCGACGCCGCCGAGGGCCGTCAAAGGGGGCGGCGTACCGCTGTCGTTTCGGCGAATTTCCGATACGGCGCGTTCGGGGTTAGGGTCGAGTCGGGTCGGGTCGCGCGTGTGTACCGCTCTGCGCGCACAAGCCCCGCGGTGAGTTTCGCGCGCGTCCGGGAATTCCGGGAGCACGCCCTTAGGCATACCCCGGGGAGAACGTAGGGCGATCGGCCGCGGACGCTCGACCGCACCCGATTAAATGTCGGGCGATACGCGAACCGTGAAATAACCGCGTGCCGCGTGTACAAAAGTTATAGCTGAGAATTCAATGCACTACGAAAAAAAAAAAAAAAAAAAAAATAAAAATAAAATATAATAACAGAAATTCCCCCCGCAAAATCGTTTAAAATCGACCGAAATATTCGCTAATTTTGACGCCGGTTAAAACGCCGGAAAAAATTGAATTTCCGTCGCCGGAGTGAAATTTTCCCACGGGTGGCTATGTCGTCTTGACATAATAACAACGGGAGTTTAAACCGTAACTGTTTTATCTCAATTCGATAACCGGCTGCGGGGGAGTTTAGACTCTCTAAAAATGTATCACAGTCAACAACGATATTCTATTTATATTATATATTCGCGTTTTAACCGAGTTACAAAAGTTCTTGCGTTTTCAACACCCTGTTACGAAAACGTACAATCTGACCGTGAAAATGATCGAGTTGAATGTTGGAAGCACCGAAAGGCATATATCCCTGATACTCAAACCGTGCACGAACAAACGTGATTCCCCTACGCTTCACATGGCAGGTGAGTAACGGTGTACGGAGACCAAAAAAATACCCTCCTTCCGCAACAACGCGGTAAAATCGATATTGAAATACATCCTAATAATCGTATAAGAGTCACGATACAGCGCAATAGTCTCTGTTTCGGGAAAAATTGAACAAAAAAAAAAAATCACTAGTTGAATCGCATGTTAATACATTATTTTGAACAATCAGTAAACCGACATTTTTTACTGAAATAAGAACGTGCAATACGTTTGTTGTTTAAACGACGAAAAACTCTCGTATTATGACGGAGATCATAAGATTCAGTTCGCAAACTTAATAAGTACGAGTTGTGCGAAGGGTTTTTTTTTTTTTTTTGTTAAACGTCGAACTGAGTGAGTTGTCAAAGTTGTCGGAGCCGATTTCACTTACTGTATGCTAAATGCTCGGCCGTACATGTAATTAGGTGGATTTTGATTTCAGCGCGAAAAAAAAAAAAAAAAAACAAACAAACTTTATCCTTGTTAGAATGCTGCGAACACATTTCGATAGGGGAACAAAACCGTGTGAAACTTCCTCGGATATAAAGACGAAAGTTTACGCTGCATAATAATAGTATGACGTACGTTAAAAAAAGGTTTTCCCGTTTTTGAATTGCAAAATATTTGTCAAATTTATTCCGCTCGAACAATGAAGAGGGTATATGCTATTATTATCTGATTTGACGGTAAACAAAATCTACGGTAGTGTTTTTTATTATATACGATCCCACGATCGTGGAAAAACAGACTCGTGGTGGCGGGTGGAGCGGAGGGCGAATCGAAATCATTATTTCGGTCGAAACAGGACGGTAGAGTGGTATTTGCTTATCTAACGATAGTGTGGCGTTATTTCGAATTTCGCTTCACCCGTTTACCGCGAGAAAAGAAAAAAAAAAATTCAAACCAGTAATCCGAGTAAAACCACCGAACATTCATAACCCGATAATCGACACAGATTACAGACAGCGCCCGCGGTACGCGACGCGGCCGATCGAGGGAAGGTACAAGTTAATACTGCACCGTAAGCAGCGAACGGAATGGAAAAAAAAAAAAAACGATTCTGTGCCGAATAGTATTAACCGTATAACGTGTACCCTTGTCGCCCGAAAACGGAAACGTTACGAAAACCGCCTAAGTGGGCGAACTGCTCGGAAATATCGACGAACGTTTGAAACGGCGCATCGCCGGGCGGAATACCCGCGACGCGGAAATATCGGAGCGTTTTCGCCGCGGCCGTCGAAGTACTCACCGGGCATCGAAAATCGATTTTCGGATTAGCTAAAACCCGCGCTAATTTGGAATTTACCGGAAAACAATTTTCCGGGTTCAAGATGTCACATATCGGCACGAATCGTATTATTGCCAACACAACAACGTGCAAGCTGCGCGCATATCCGGGCCGAATCGCTCGCGCGGTTTCGAATATCGGTGACGAGATTTTTTTTCGTCATACCCGAAATAATCGGGAACCGCTGGTTTATAGTCGTCGATACGACCGTTCTGATTTAATAATCGATATATAGGGACGGGGAATTATGGTAATTCGGTCCGGTGCAGCCGCGTATAAATGTACGACGACCGGCTTCCGTAATATCCGATATTTCGAACACATGGCACACTGCGCGTTATAATATCGTTTCGCGTGCGCGTGCATAATGTCGAGCCCTCTCCGCCCGCAACCCGTTGAATTAACGCCGCCGCATAGCCCGTTAATCGTACGCAGGCAGCATAAAATATCGTTTCCGCAACGTTTGTCGTCTGCGCGGCAGTTTCAAGTGTATATTATTATATTATTGTTAAAAAATACAAATGAATGACAATAAATTGTTGTAGTACAGGTCGTAGTGTGCGCTTAATAGTATACGGGCCAGGCGGTTTCGCGGCGATTTTTGAATTTCCGTCCCGTATTAGATCCCAATAACGGGCGAACGGGTTTTCGATTTTCAAATAAAATCGCGCATTTAAAACACAGATTTGAACGGAGAACAATAACATTATGTCTATTGAAACGTCCACGTCGTCGTTATGTATGACGCTAACATCGAATTTACCGTCAATGAGTTATAGCGAATTGAAGTTTAGACCGGCGGGACGCGAAACGGTTATCGATATTTATCGTCCGAAAATGAAGAGGAAACTCACTGCCCTGTCCTATTTTCCCACTCCATACTTAAACTCGTATAAATCACAAACGGTAAATCTGACATTCAATGTTATGCGTGTGCAACAGATTAGAAAAATTTGATTCGAACGTGTGTTTAAAATGGAGGAATGAGTTCTTATTTGAAAACCAAACTATACGCTCATTTCAGGAAAAGGGGTAAAAATTTGAAAATAGTTTTAAAATAAAACCTATGCGATCGGATTATGATTGGAAAAAAAAAAAAAAAAAAACTAAAGAAATCGAATACCCGCAGAAAATCGCTAATGGTTCATGATAAGTGGATCACCCTGTATACGTCTATTGAGCACGCGATAGCGGGGAAAAATATCACGTTTGTTTTGAGCCCCGGAACCGCCGCCGCTGTATATTATCATTACAATATAAAGTACACGAAGAATTTTATCGTTGTAATATTGTGCGTTTGACGATAAATAACGACAAAATTATAAACGGACCGGATTTATGATACGATATAATGTGTGCTCGAATTTTCGGAAAACGTCTCCCTTACGTTCGCGTATAACCGTTCGAAACGCGGTACGATATTCTTAACCGAAGACCT